ACTATGCAACAAGAGCCATTACAAATTCATTCAAGCTAGTCATTAACTTTCCCATGGGAACAATGTTGTTACTCTGACAATTATCTATTCAGAACACAATGTTATACGTCATTTGATAGATGAGAACCTTGACTTTCTACTGGTTATAGATAATATATAATGAAACATATGAGAGAACTATCAATGAATTGTGAAAGAGAGGAAGTGAGAGGTTGACGGCAAGCGGGGTCTGATTTTCTAATTAATAGCTCTGTAACCAAACAAAATTGAAGAATATAGAAATTATGGTTTGTCTGAGCAATAATGATTTTATAGAGAGTAATTTACATTTAATTTTATACATTTTTGAGGGGTGATGGATAAAAATAGGGATGAAGACATGCTATGACAAAATGTGTCACGAGGGTTACACAAGTGGAAATTCAAGATTTATTTAAATATTTCCTTGTATAATTAAGAACTCAAAACATGTATACTATTTAAGTATGGATTATTAGCTAAGATTTTATGCTATTCTAATTGGTAAAATATAAACAAACAGTAGTTAAATACAATTTTGAATGTAAGAAACTAAAACCTTGTGTCATGAGAAGTAAAAGGATACCTGGGGCGATAGGGTTAAAGACATAAGGTGCTGTTGCAATACCAAAAAGAAGAGCATGGAACTAGAAGAACCAATCCTGATAAGCGAAATGAAGAAAACACCTGAAGGACAGGACAATCAGAATGTGTAAAATAGCACCTGAAACATCAACTTTGTTCATCCACAATCCAGGTAAAAAGAACCACCAGAGAGAGAGAGAGAAAAGAAACCCTCCATACATAACAGAAAGGTAATAAAAAATCAGTTGAGAAACGACCAGTTAACAACCAGATGTCAGTCCCCACTCTTCTTAAGGACCACAAAAAGATCAAAGTAATAACCAGGTTTAGGGTTAAACTTCAACTCTATGGCATTCTTGGCCAAGATATCCAAGACTACACCCTCAAGACACTGAAGATAAAGAGGAACAGAATGAGAAGAGACAAGGGGAGAAGGTGGAAAGGTAGGCTGTGGGTGAGTACCTGAAGACAAAAATGGAAACCAAAGGTTGGCAAAGAGTCAGATGGGACCCCACAGAGTAGCCACTGTGACATAAGCAATTATCCCAACATCAGGAAGTGGGAGGACAGGAAGTAGAAGAAGGCCGGAAAGTTGGAATGAGAAGATGTGGATTTAGCAGACCTAGGAACAGAAAGGTGAGGTTGAGATAAACAAGGCATCATAGCAGATAATGAAGACTGATGCTGGACCACATCAGCACAGGTTACCAGTGAATCAGGAACATCTCTGAAGACCTTTGGCCAAATAAATGGAGCCTGATAAAGATCACAGAGATAAGTGTGAGAGAGGAATACATTAGCTAGGAGACCATCTCATCTAAACAAGTCCCAACAGTAGAAGAACCAAGTATGGATAGAAAGAGCAGAAGAAGTAAAAGCCAGTGTGGTGGAAAGAAAAGAACAAACCTCTCAAGAAAACTTTTCCAGACCATAACAAAATGCCTCAGACATAAGGTGAAGGGACAACAGGTAACACAGAAAGGTGGTAAAAAAAGACAGACAGAAGTGAGAAAACTGGGTACTAAAAAGTAAAAGATAAGGGGTCCACCTCCCAATCAGGTAAAAGAAATCTAATCAAAAACACTAAGTGTTAAAACAAAAAAAGGTACAGCCAAAAAAAAGGATTCAACATGCAAATTAAAGGAATGAAATCAAAATTGGCAGCCAAACTGGAAGCTACACTTATATCATTGATAGGAATTTCACAGCAAATATTTATTCATTAGTTAGCCAGGCCGTATTTTTTGTTCAACTTAGGGCATGATGGTGGATAAAAATAAAATATGCAGCTTAGCTATCTAATAAATGAATATTTCCTTATCATTGCATTCAACATACCATGTGACATACAAAAATCAATATTTAGGATTTTTTTAAATATTTATTTTTAAATAATAAACTATCTAACATATAATACTAAAATTTGCATTATGATCTACAATTTGACATCAAATTTATTGACATGCATTCATAATATAGTAGTTCAATAAAATTTTGAATGCAAGTCTACAAACGTGATGACATGCCCTTTGACCTCCGATCATAGGAAGACACGTTGAGATAGGGTTAATCAAAACTAACAATCCTAGTGTACTCTAACTTCACACATAAATTTAAGTTTTTGAATATAATTTACCAAATGCATGTACCAAGCCATTTTTCATTCTAAACTTTAACCTAACAACCAAAAGATAACCCTAGTTGAAGGCTTAAGTTAAAATTTTTATACTACCACTAGCCTAATATGAATTATAGACAATTGATGGTCTGTTGCTATATTTATACCTTTTAAAAATCTATCCAATATATTTGGAACTTGAGATGTGAAGTAAATTTCTAATCTTTATATTTGTGGAAATAAATACCTCTTGCCAGTAAACAAGTACAACAATGACCAAATTATAATTTACTCTTATAGAGAAAAAAAAATTCTTAAGCTAATGTTACAGACCTGAAAACACAAATTTAAAGAAAGAATGAAAATGAAAAATTATAGATGAAAAGCAATAGTAATTTTTTTTAAGATAAAATATTTTATTGTAAGCTGAATTAAACTTACTATTCTGTACCAAACATATTCAACTTGAGACAAAAAATGATACGAGAAATGAAACCTTGATATCAGCTTAAAAAACAAACTTTAATACATTAATATTACTATCCTGCAATCGTAATTTAAACTGGGTGGGTGAAGTGTCATTTAATTTTCCATTTCTTAAATTTAACTGTAAATAATTCTTTAGAACTAATCAATGTTTTTCTCAAGGTTTTAAAGAAGGTCGAAGATGAAATACCCTAGTCTTCACACTCATTTCTGGTAAATCAATGAACAGTGGACAGATGCCAAAGGATTTGAAAATTGTTAATGTTAGTCCTATTTTTAAAGGAAATGAAAAAATATCCCTGGAAAGTCTTATTTCTGTAGTGCAAATATTTCTAGAAAGACAGATAAAAAAATGTTACAAAATCATTTAGTGATATAGGTTATTATATATAAGGCCAACATGGATTTACTAGAGGGAGATTTTGCCTTACTAAACTGCTGACTTTTTCTGGATGATGAAAAGGGTGTGAATTTGGTGTGCTTAGGTTTTTAGAATACTTTCAATAAGATACCATTCAGAATATTAGCAGCAAAGAAAAAAACATTAGTGGGGGTTGGAGTTGATTAAACTAAGATGGCTGGGGGACAAATGCAGAAAGTTTTATCAGTTGAGTACAGACAAACTAAACTGAATGTCTGTTAATAGTTTGCCTCAGGGGTCAGATCTTGGGCCTTTCCTTTTACTTAAAACATTAAACTTTTTTTGGTATTTCTAGATGTACTAAATATATTGAGGTGCTACAGAATGACTTAGATCAATTTGCAAATTACTTTTAAGTAAGAGTAAGTTAATGCATTGGAATAATATGTTTAATACAAACAGGAACATAAAAAACAGTTTGATTAAAGAAAAGTATCTTGGCATAATGCCATTAAAGCAGTTCTCATTTGCTAGTAGTGAAGTTAATAGAATTTTTGGATACATTCACAGACATAATGATTACAAGTCAAAAGCAAAAATTATTTCTTCATAAAAATCACTTGTTAGGGCTCACTTGGCCTACTGGATAAAGTTTTGGTCTTCTTATCTAAAAAAGGATGTTGATTAGTAAAAAACCACAGTAAACGAAAAACTTTCAGAAAGAATATCGATTGGAGGAAATCATTCAGAAAAGAGCTACTACTACTAGAATGGTTTCAGGAATGGAAATAGATTAAGATATTTTATTTTCTCTTCACCAAAGGACAAAAAGTATTTTTGTTAAGTTTAAAAGACCATCCAAGGAACTGATAGAATAGAGGCCTCTGATTTCTTTGATTTATTCTGAAAGCAAGAGGATGCAAGCTTCAGATTTAGAAATGACATGCTAGACTCCACTTAAAAATTTCTATTTTTAATTTTCCTTGAGGACAGGCGAGCAACAACAGCCTTGAAGGACAAAATGTTAAAACTTAAAGTTTTGCTTCATTACCCATTCAATCCGTCTCCAGCCATTATTAGTCTCAAAGTGGGTTCCTCGTCATCGAATCTAAAGACATGATGTTTCAAAACACTTAAAGTTAAAGCTCGTGTGTACTGTGCAACGGGCAGAAACCGAAAACTGCCTAGCCTGTAGACATACTATTTACAACTTCTGTCCACTGCCTATATATCAGTGTCATAGTGTTATACTGACTACAGTCATGATACGAATACAGCATATTTTACAAAAATATATACTGAAAAATCATGCGTTATTACTTTGTAATTTAACTTTTTTTTTTAACTTAAAATTTTAAGCGACTGAAATCGAAACAATTACATTTAGTGATTTACAACTAAGTTTGTTACTTAGTACAATACTACTATGACGAATTGTTGTGATTAATCAAAACAAGCCTATTGCCAGTACTTGTTTTAGTTCACCTTTGACACTAAACAATAAATAAAATTGGTATCAATATTATTAATTATTAATAGAGAAATGATTTCGAGTCTCAAAACAAGCCTTTCTTTAGGCTTAACATTAATTTTTTGCTATTGGAACTTGCGAGAGTCGGAAAACTCCAATTTATGTTCCGATATCAAACTTACCTTTTTAAGTTATTGCTTGAAAATCTACTTTACAGTTAAGAGTTGAAACTCAAATACATGAAATAATTTGGTGATGTAATTTGTGCTCCCTCCCAGCCCAAATCAATTTTGGAAATACTGTAAACTATGCTTAAAACATATCTTAGGCCTTTTTTAATAAACGAAACCTTTAGCTTACGTGTTCCGCTTCCACACCCATCTGAACCAATGTAAACATGGCACGGGGCATTCCCTGATGCGCTTCGAAAAACTATAAGAATAAGTACTAGTAGCAAAATTTATCAGTCGATAAGCTATTTTGCTCAATATATTTATAATAAACTTTGATTACGAATGTGATGTATTTTATAATAACAATAGTAGTATTTGTCAGTTTCAAAATTAATTTAAATAAATTAAATATCTTAGAGTTCTATTGTTTATTTCTATAAAATTCTTAGATATTATTATACTTTTATATTATTGCAACAGTTTTTTTAAATTATTAACAGAAAGAAATAATTTCACTTTGAAAAAATATTACAAATAATTTACTACTTACAAGACCGCTCCCTAGTGGCACAGTGGCATGTCTGCGACTTACAACGCTAGAAACCAGGTTTCGATACCCGTGATGGGCAGAGCACAGATAGCCCACTGTATAGCTTTGTGCTTAATTACAAAGAAACAAACAAAACAAACTTATAATGTAAAAGAAATGTAAAAATATAGAGCTACTCTCTTATTTGCCATATTGGTTCTAAGGTGTATTTTTAACAGTTTTAGCTTGCTAAAGCTCCTTTCACAACCGGCTGTGCTAAATGGAAGAGTTATTGGTATCTTTACAGCCTTGTAAAGCTCAGTAAAAGCAATTAATAGGGGTTTGAGATGTTCTGCTAACTCCTCGACTGCTCCAGATGTCGCACCTGAACGCTCATTTCCTCATTTTCAGTTGTATCTCTTCAAGATTCAGCCTATAGTGGGCTGCAAGAGGTTTAATAGTCTCAAAATCAATGAATTTTTCAGATTTGAGGTCAGTTGCCGATAGGGAGCGGAACATTTGGAGATTTTCCCACTGAATCGTTTGTCTAGTTCTCTAAGAAAACTATCAATGGTTGGAAAAAAAGATAGCTCTTTTCATATAAGACGAATCTCGTATGGCGTCCCGTTAAAACTACAAATTCGTCCATGTTTGAGAGCGTGGAGCTCTGTAACTGACGCCGACGGCAATATTTCAGGTCATTTCTGGTAGCGATGTCACAAGAAAGTTGAAAATAATGTACAGCTTTCTGTCACATCTGTAGGTTTGCAACACTGTTAGAAGAATCTCAATTAGATCTGTTGCTTTTAAGTAATCTAACTTGGAACTTTACAGCATATCTGATGCTCCTTTTGCTTCACGTAAGATGTCATTAAGAAACAGTATACAGTATTTGAATGTCTGGTCAATTTTCTTATATCCATTTTCTCGATAGTAAGACTTGATGTGTCTATACATGAATGCAGAAAACCAACTTCATGTAGTAATTAACAACAGTAAAATGTATCGTGTAAAGATACCCTCGACCTCTTGACCTAGAAACTTGAAGAACAACCTTGCAACAAGTACTGAGGCGCAAAGTAAAAGCGCCAAAGATAGTGTTGCGTCAGCGAGTCACGTGACTACTATGACGCAACGTTTCTAGAACTATCATGTACTTTGTCGAATGTTCAAGTTCTTACTA